TGATTGATTGTGATTGATTGGTTGACTGATTGATTGATGGAAATAGTCCAGAGTCAGGCAGAAGGTGTATTTCGCTGCCGAGAATTCTAATATAGCTTTGAAGTACATTCGCACACATACTGAGACTGCCTTTCGGGAACGGATACTGCAATCTTGCGCTTTAGTCCCTCACCCCTCCCCCCACCCATCGATACAAATTTTAGATTGATTGATATGCGGGTTTAACGTCCCAAAACCACCATATGATTATGAGAGACGCCGTAGTGGAAGGCTCCGGAAATTTTGACCACCCGTGGTTCTTTAACGTGCACCCAAATCTGAGCACACGGGCCTGCAACATTTCCGCCTCCAGTATACAAATTTTAGGGTGCAGAGACACTAAGTGTAAGAATCGATGAGCGCTGACCGCATACGCTTTTTTGGAAATTGTTCTTTTTCTGTATGTACTGGGGAAAGAAAATTCACAAAGAAACTGCGAAAAATCATGGCACAAAAAGGACGAGGACCCAGAAAAACAGTACACAAGTCAAAGTCCTGCTCGATGAAAAAGCTCTGTGCTACGAAATCGTATTGCATTATTTGACCAACGCGTTACAGAACTAAACAACGCCCCGCCGTGGTGGTCTAGTGGCTATAAGGTACTCGGCTGCTGACCCGCAGGTCGCGGGTTCGAATCCTGGCTGCGGCGGCTGCATTTCCGATGGAGGCGGAAATGTTGTTGGCCCGTGTGCTCAGATTTGGTTGCACGTTAAAGAACCCCAGGTGGACGAAATGTCCGAAGCCCTCCACTACGGCGTCTCTCGTAATCATATGGTGGTTTTGGGACGTTAAACCGCACATATCAATCAATCAAAACTAAACAACGTCCCTTTTCATTTTGGTGATAAGCGCTGACGTTAACAGCGCTGATCACTGCTGGTAGCGCGCGATTAAACGATGCATTCCAGAACACGCGTCTGTTCGCCCTTCACCGCTATGCACGTCTCGAACATCGGCGCACTCTTGCAGTCCGGGGTCTGAAACAGGGACAAACTGCTTTCCGAAGGAGTCGTTTCACCGATCGAGCTAACTGGGAAACTCGAAGTACACCCACTATATGTTCCGGGTCCGAATACAGAATCTGGACAAATTTTTCGTGAACTATGATCAGCTTTCCCGTCCGTGAAATTCGCAAGGATAATACCATGCTTTTGGGCGTGACTTAGTTATTGTGGGATATGTAAGCAAATACGGTAAAAAAATAAGTAGACTGACATCGTTGGCAGGTCACTTGGTACATACTGAACCTGAAACAGTCCGCTTTTTTTTTTTTTTGTCCCATCTAGGCGCTGTTACACCTGAGAGTTCAGACTGAACGTCGTTGCTTCTGCAAAGGCAATCTGTGTCAAGGCCAGCGAGCGAGCCCGCCTGACGCCATCATCTCAACGACGTCATCTAAACCCAGCGGCGCCGCTTTGTCTCACGCAACTCACGGCGAGAACCCTCAACCAACGGGCCCGATAACAGCCCGATGATGCAATCGGCGCCGTCTAGTCCTGCGAGTCTTACGGAACGCGTGGCAACATCACTCGCCCATGAATGCAACGCAGCGGCGGTTCCTGGCTGGAGGAATCTGACATCACGGCCAGCGGCGGTTCTGATTGGACGTTGCTGACGTAAGGAATCACGCGGGGTCTATGAAAAAAGCCGAGCGGCGCATTGCCAGCGAGCCGACGTATGCGTCAGAGAGAAGGCACCTCGGCTCTTCGAGTCCCTAAGCTGTGGGCCCCAGTGCCGAATATGTAACGCCTCTATTTCTATGGTGTACACGAACTTTGCCTTAACTCGCCGTCGTCTTGTCCGCTCGTCTATCAGCTCTGCGTAGAAGCAGCCGGGAGCTGACAAACGCGAGTACTGAACAACCTTGGCGTCCCGTGACCTCGGCGCACTACGCAACAGTGTCAGCGGCGGTGCGAGTCGTAACACCGCGCACTTTCACGTTAGGTATACAGACTTCCATTGTTCCGAGTTCGTCTGCACTTTGCGCGCATATCCTACAATGAGACATTCCACCAACTCAACCAAAAAGGAGTTCTTTTAAGATTCTGGGTGTGAGTGGTAACACGGGAGTTTTTTTTTTTTTTCTTTTTTCTCCCCTTTCACAACCCTTCCTTGAGCTCGCGTCATTTAGGATAAGTCGCTTGCGGTACCAAATGTAAACGATCCAACAATTCTACACCCTTGCGCGATTCACAACGCTGGCTGTAGGCGCGAGCTTGCAGTATCTCTTCTGTCCGATAAGTGCTCTGGGACCGAAATGTATTGTAATCCAATTTGGCCAGACTTTTCCTCCGCATGCGCCAACGAACAGCAGCATTTCCAACTTTCTCGGAGCTGCTTCGATGCCTTCAGGAATATCGAGTGCCGTTGCCAGGTTCGCTTCGCAGCCACCGCGTACCCTATGCCTGCCTGTCTTCGAGTTTCGCGAGGCGTCTTCCTGATTGCTGTGACAGGCTCGTCGCAAAAGATAGTGTTTAGAGGGACCAATTTGGCGACTACACTCACGGAACCACTGGACCGTTCCAAGCGACGAATGCAAGAGAAGCGGCAGGACGCTATAGCGTCCTGCCCCTCGCTACGCCTCTTCGCCTGTGTACGGACGTATCTTCGGCAACATCGAAGCTATCTATCTATACGGCTTTCCTCGGAGTCTCCGAACTTGTTACGTAGCTGGGCCGTTACTCGCGATGTCCTTACGTATTTTTTTTTCTCCTATTTTGATCGTAAAAGGCTTCGACGTCAAAAGCTGTCGAAAGTGTGCGATTGTTATCTCTGTCGGCCATCTACGCGCGCTGCTCTTCCCAGTCGGCATTTCCCTATACCGCGTTTCCTCGAACGTAAGCGACCCGCATGAACAATCTAGCAAGTTTCCTTTTTACTCTAGGAGTTACCCTTCCCCAGTGCAGGGTAGCAAACTGGGTGTGCGTGTGGTTAACCTCCCTGCCTTTCCTTGCATTTTATCTCTCTCTCTCTCTCTAGGAGTTGTTTGTTCAGAAGATACGAGTTACTTTGTGAGACCAAATATGTTTCGTTTCTGTGAGAAGACGAATGGGGTTGGAGCCTTTCGTAAACCGAATACGTTAAGAACGCGCAGCTTTCCAGCAAAGACGCATCAAAGTGAGAAACGTCTTCGCGGCAGGCGAAATTAAAAACAGCAATTCACTAACATACGAGTTTGGACTAGTTGGTGCGCCATTGCCCATGATATTGAAATCCCTAAAAATAGTCTAAGGACAACTGAGGAGACGCAAATGGCACTTGTCTCTGTCCCTTAGCTTTTTTTTCTTTTTGCGCTGTAAGTATCTCGATTGATTTGATTGATTGATTGATATGTGGGGTTTAACGTCCCAAAACCACCATATGATTATGAGAGACGCCGTAGTGGAGGGCTCCGGAAATTTCGACCACCTGGTGTTCTTTAACGTGCACCCAAATCTGAGTACACGGGCCTACAACATTTCCGCCTCCAACGGAAATGCAGCCGCCGCAGCCGGGATTCGAACCCGCGACGTGCGGGTCAGCAGCCGAGTACCTTAGCCACTAGACCACCGCGGCGGGGTTGCTGCAAGTATCTCGAACAATTACAATTATTGCAGTGAATAGCAGCTGAAGTGGTAGAATGAAAGACCGCTTGTCAAGTTAGAGCACTGACACCCAGCGTAGGAACGATAGTGCAGTAAAAGAGTGTTAAAAGCATTCATAATTTTATTCTATATTGACCTCATCATATGGTTCCATCGCATCTTTTACATAGTTATTCAGAATGTCGTTCTATAATTTCTTGCACGTTTTGTTTCGATTGTCAGGCGCACCGACCGACTCACTCACTCACTCACTCACTCACTCGTATCTGTGTGAACCACTAGTGGTTTTGCAGTTGCTTCTATTTCGGCTCACGTTTCACAAAGGGACGATGTAATGCTACTACGTCACCACGTGAAGTCATCTCTTGTATTTCTAATATTACATAATTATTTATTATTCAATGCTTTTGCATATCCAGTGATAACGCCACCGGTCACTTCTCGCGTTTTATGTGGCATCGAATGTTTTCACCTTAATAATCGCTTGTCTTGCGTTCTTGTAGCATTTTTTTTTCCATCAAATTATCTTTTCTCTTGATATAACGATCTCTTTCGCAGTATCTCTTTCAAATATCTGTTGGAGTCTAACCGTATCCGTTGTAGTCTAACCATTGGAGTCTAACTGCAGAATCTTCTTTTCAAATACCGTATCCGTTGGAGTCAAACCGTCGCAGTCAAACCACCATATATCTTCCAAATACCGTGTCCGCTGGAGCCTAACTATGTCTGCATGATCAGAGAGGGTTAGACTCGAACAAACGCGGTATTTGTTTAGCTCGTACCATTATCCCCTGCTTTTCGTCGCTCCGCGAGGAAATTGCAATAAAATAACCCCAGTGGAGTATACCGCAGTCGGCGTCTTCAGTAAATGTACGGTTACGATTCGCACGGCTGCTCGCTTCACTCTCACTTCATTAATATTTTTTTTTTTCCTTTTTGAACAAAAATAATCTGTACGCCGTCCCCTTCTTTCGAGGTGCGCTGCTCTTGTTCTCCCACGGGTTTTTTCCGCGTACGACATTTCTCGGTCATCACTGCTTTCTGCCGTTCCCCGCTTTCCTCCTTTCAGGATTCGCTTTTCTGATTTCTGCGGGTGCTTCTCGGTTTTTCTGTAGAGCTGTTTTTGTTTTCCGCGGACTTAGGATCAATCGCTGTTCCATTGTGCTTCACTAAGACGAAAGTCTTGTCAAACGCTAAAGATTGTCAACACGAATAATAAATAAAACGAACAAAGGGGGAAAGTTAGGGATGGGGGAAGCATACAGTGTTTTTAGAGAGATTTTTCTGAGACCCAAGTGGTTCCAAGCCATGAAGCTTGGTATGTAGGGAAGGACACGTGTTGCCACTTCATTAACGTCATCGGAAAAATGCATCGGAATGCAGCTTACCGTAAGCTGGCTCTTGGTCATCTTGATCTCGTTCATCCTCTTCAACTTCTTCATCTTCATCTTGATCCCATTCAACCTCTTCATCCTCTTTACCTTCAACCTTTTCATCCTCTTCATAATCTTCGTCATCTTCTTCTTCTTCATCATCTTCATCTTGATCTCATTCATTCTCTTTATCTTCGTCATCTTCAACCTCTTCATCCTCTTGCACGTCTTCGTCATCTTCACGTTCGTCATCTTCACAATCGTCATCTTCATCGTCTTCTTCATCGTCTTCTTCATCGTCTTCTTCATCGTCTTTGTCATCGTCTTTGTCATCGTCTTCGTATTCTTCATCCTCTTCTTCATCCTCTACTTCATCCTCTACTTCATCCTCTTCTTCATCCTCTACTTCATCCTCTTCTTCAGCCTCCTCTCCACACGCCCTGTTCCAGTTCCCTACTAGATGTAGGCAAAGGTGTTCCAGCTCCGCCAACGTTGTCGGCTATTCGTTAAGCTGCTAACTGTGACCTTCCCTTTTAAGTGCACCGCTGACGAGTAGTGGGGCATACTCGATTTTTGTGGCGCGTACCCGCTTATATAATGGAACGGTACTACATGGCACTCCGCGACGAAATTAGACGCCGACAAGCGGACAGCCTACAAACCAATAAAGAAGGAAGAGCAGCGCGCCGCATTTCCATGCCCGACGTCCCCTAAAGCAGTATGAAGTGAAGTGACTCAGAATTAAGAGGTAATTGAAAGAAATTGGCAAGTGACACAATCTGAAAGTAACTGATAGAAATTGAGGATGACGGCACCAAAGTTCAGATGTCGAAACAATTAATGCAGGCGCAATGTCTTTCGCTGTCAGGTCATCTGAGCACGCGATAAGGGACCAAGCGACTGTCGAATAAGGGACAATCTGACACGCTTCCGAAATGCTTTTGAAGTACTTCCCCTGTGGTAGGACGTTATGATGAAGAAAGAGATAAAAATAACACCTATTCGCACCCGTTGAGGATGAAAACTGAAGAACGTGAGAGACAAACAAAAACTACGAAATAATAAAAAAATATCCTGTAGCACAGCTGCACATTTCCAGCCGTATATATGCCTATTTTTATGGGTAATGCATGCTGACAGGAGTGTCATGCGTACCTTGTTAGGTTTGCACTTTGTACTGGAATTAGCGTTCAGTTTTATCCATAGTCATGAAAGAAAGAAGTTGAACAAAGGCGCGAATCCTAACCAGGTTAACAATGCAGTGAGCATACGTGATTGAAAGGAATGTGTGATAAAGGAAGCAAAATATGTCCGGGGATGAACTGAAAACTGACGATTTTCTTTTTTTTTTAGTCAGTCTTGAACCTGTCAAAAAACATGCAAGAGCCATTGCATGATTGCGAGAGAGCAATGGCTGGAGTCACTATTCCCGTTTTCCGTGAAGGGACGGCCGTCAGTTTTATCGAGTTCAGCAAAGGCAGTGTGCATCAGATTGGACAGTTAACGAGTGCCTTCGAATTGCCTCAAGGCGCCTCAATGTTAGGCATAGGTATCGGTGTAACACACAGAAGCGTATAGTATCGTTATAGACCGTTCCACAGTCACAATATCGGCAAGAAATTGCCCGGTGTAAGTGAGCCCACCAGGCACACAAAAACTTCCGCAATCGTACATTTCGATTTGAAGCTAAACTGAACTACTACTACTACTACTACTACTACTACTACTACTACTACTACTACTACTAATAATAATAATAATAATAATAATAATAATAATAATAATAATTCAAGGTGTTAAGTCTCAAAACCATGATATGATAATGGAAGACGTGGTATAGTGGAAGGCTCCGAAAATTTCGACCACTTGGCGTTCTTCAACGGGCACCTAAATCTGAGCGCATGGGCCTCAAATATTTTCGCCCCCGCCGAAAATAACAGCCGCCAAAGCCGGGATTCGATCCCGCGACCTTTCGGGTTAGCAGTCGAGTTCCATATCCATTAGGCACCGCGGTGGGGTTGGGGACTAAGCTGAACGTCTGACTAATAATAAAATGGATATAACTTGAGCTCTAATTTACCTCGTTATGAGATAAAATATCCCGGTATAATCAATGGAAGCGGCGTTTCTGAATGAAATAGTAGTGTACCGGTGTTTAATTATGCTCTGTTCTAACTATATTCAATGCCAGTTTTAACGAAAGTTTAACGAAAACTTCGCGTTTTCGTTAACCGTGTAGCACGCTGTGTACAGCGCGACACTCCCAAGCAGGCACCAGCCAAACACGCCTGCGAGAAGTAAAGCGACATATTCCATGGAGCTAGTGTCGTAATCAGAAGATAGAAATACAGAGATAAGAAACGCCCCACAAAACACAAAACAAAAACTTGGCACGTCTTTCGAGGAAAGGGTATTGCGATATAGTTAGATCGAGGTAAGATCACCGCTAACGAAACACACTTGCGTATATTAAAAAAAAAAAGAGGGGGGGGGGGAGGAGAACCACTCCATATATTTCCTACTTCGAGTGAAACAAGACAATATCGTGCAAATCAACCTCACGTACGAAGCTTGGAGCCATGTAGGATATAGGGGACAAAAAGAAAAAAACTACTTTTTTGAACTTGATTAGAACAGTCTTCTGGTCCGGTTACAGCCAACCGGACCAGAAGAATGGTTCCGTTGACCTGGAAGCGAAACCTTTGTAATAAATCGCGAACTTAATATTCGCATCACCGTCGCCGGTTTGCCGTCTGCGTAGTAAGCTGCTCGCATCGAACCCCCCTTGCCGGCGGGCTCAACGATTACATTCACGCGCTGCGGGCACACAGAGTACGAGTGCTCTTGCACGCACATGCAACGCACTTGCGTGGGCTAACCCCCGTATTCTAGAACGTCTCCTTCACTAAAAGCTTCACCTTCACTTGAAAAAAAAAACGATAGAAGTGCCATCTCTAGGCACGGCAAATCACTGCGTATAAGCGATAACCCCCAGCAGGTCTTGAGTAGCGCATCGCCATTTTCAGTCGAGCCGTAGCGCAGTGCTCAACTCTGTCAAGTGAAGGGTGAAAGTCGAGCCGAGGAGGGGCGTTTGGGAATACTGGGGTAAGGCTTCAGCTGTATAGTAGAAAGCATTACGTTATGGCATATTTAGATAGTCCCCTTACGGACGGCCAATTTACTGCGAAGGATGCGTTGTCATGGCGATAAAAGCAATACCGCGTAGAAGGATGGAACGACATAAACCCTGATGCATACACAAGTTGATTTGAAATTGTTTAGTTGTCTTTCTTATCTCTGTGTCGTCGTTTTGTTCTCGCGCTATAACTATAGTCATGACATGCCAACTAGCCCAAGCTGCCACACTTCGATGTTTAGTTGTGTTGCGATTTAACTGCCTTGGTTGAAAGAGCTGATTTGAAGCGGTTGCACCTCTCACCCCTTACGCCTCCAGTACATACACCATTATGACTTGGTATGCGTGTTTGCTGTGATTTCATCGCCGTAATGACAGCGTCACGACTTGCTTCTATCAATTTTTATCGTCATTAAAAACGTCTTCTTTGGCATTTACATGACTTTATTGCTCATAACAGTTGTATATGCATATTTATCGCACTTTTTTTTTTTTGAGGCGTGTGTACAGCTGACTTACAGCTGCCTAATTCTCAATCAGCATAACAGTGTTCTTGTATTCGCAGCGTCATTCACGCACTTTTGCCCGATACTGATTGTTGCACCATTAACATCATCATTACATGGTTTTAAGATGTCAATTTTTATCGTCATTAGAAAGCTATTCTTTGGCATTTACATGACTTTATTGCTCATAACGGTTGTAGGCATCCTTACCACGCTTTCTTTTTTTTTTCTTGTTTATTGGCCTGTGTGCAGCTGACTTGCAGCTGCTAATTCTCCTTCAGCATAACAGTGCTCACAAGAGCACTGTTATATTGCTGTTAATAGCACTGTTGTATTCACTGTGTCATTCGCGCACTTTTGGCCGAAACTGACCGTCGCGCCATCAACCTCATCATTATGGTTTTCAAGATGTATAGTGCAACATACTGCTATCCGCGAAAAGAGACACGTTAACAAAAACCCATTTAAAAAAACAACAAACCGAAAAAAAAGAACGCCAGTATATACATGTTACAAGCTGTTGTAACACGATAAAACAATCAATGCGTACGCAGCGATTGATATATAGCGCGTGGGGAAACACAGACGAGGGAAGCTTTGTGAAGGATGTACGTAACGCATATAGCCCGCCTCGGTGTTGCACTCGTTACGGTGCTCGGACACTTGCCAGAAGGTCGTGGGTTCGATACCGGCCACAGCGGTGGCATTTCGGCGGAGACGAAATGCTAGAAGCACGAGCGTGTGCTCTATGCGCGAAGTCAGTACACGTATATAGAGAAGCAGATATAGCCCCTTTTCGAAACTCTCCACCACTGCGCACCTCATAACCGTACCGTGGTGTTGATGCGTAAAACCTAAGATACTACTATTAGAACAGAAACAAAGTCAGCTAACAATATGGGCAGTAACAGTGCACAAACTCACGGGACGAAGAGAAGAGAGACAAACAAACCCGTTCGTACCGTGAGTTTGTGCGCTGTTACTGCCCATATTGTATCATCAACTATAGCCCAACTATCAGTCCTGCTTCAGCTAACAAGTCGGCGCTCGGTCTTTCGCGCTTTGTTTCGCCCTGATATCTCGCGTTGCATATCTCTTATCCTTATCAAGATGTACTAGCTTGATGGCGTATAGTGAATAACCGCCGTGAATAAGATCATTCTCCAAAGTTTTAATGTAAAGGTGAATGACTATGCGATGTGTTGGTGCTCTCTTCATATTAATCGGTGAGTTATGCGGGCCGTGTTCACACAACTGTGAGGTCTAAGCTATCCGAGCATTTCAACAAGCCGCCATGTTGTTTGGACAGCAAAATAGCCTGCATCCTTTCTGTCTCCGACGCCGTCTTCTCGAAGCTGTCTATTTCGCCGTCTACGTTGAGCATTGTTATCGTAAGTACACAGTCATCAATGTTCATGGCCATCTCAAAACTCATTGAATGGCACCCTTTGGTCAAACTTGGCCCTTGCGACCTTACTAGCCATGCATCACCCTCGGCAACAACAGTAACATGCCATCTTTTTTTCTATTTAAATAAAAAGAGAACACTATGACGTCCATGCACCCTGGGATTTGGGAGCTTAAACATAGTTTCACAGAGAAAACCTGTCTGTACGCGTGGAACTTTTTTAGTACTTATGACGTTACACGCCGATGAATAATAATAATAATAACAATAACAATAACAACAACAATAATAATAATAATAATAATAATAATAATAATAATAATAATAATAATAATAATAATAATAATAATAATAATAATAATATGCGGGGTTCTATATGCTAAAACCAAGATTGCACGCGGTCTTTTATA